CCTCGGCCCCGAGGGTACAGGAATGCAAAGTCGGATCATAATCCTCTATGTCTACATATGAGGGGATGATGTACTTGACCCTAAACCTATTAATTTGCTCACCCCCCCTTCACTTTATACTTCCCTGGCCTCGAAGAACTGGCCTAAGGAACCTCGGGGGCAGAGCGACGATGGGGCATCTCCAAAAAGTGATAAAAAATGAAGGAGGGGGTTTTTCCACGAAGATCCCCAAGGAGGCTTCCCGAGGATTGGTCGCTGAGTGGCAACCAGAAACGCCTCCAGTTATCGAAAAATCAAAAGGAACAAAAAAAAAACGAGAAGAAGAGAAGAGACGGAGGGCGAAGAAAGGGAAGATACAAGGACTCACCAGAACGTAAAAGGAAGTTTTTTCTTGAAACTTGAAGCGACTCCTTCTTCCAGAATGTTCAGAAGCAAGGATGGGTCTGCTGGCCTTAAGACTCCGGTGAAAGATTGGATAGTAGACAACGAAAGGAAAGGGATGTCCGACGAGGTTTCAGGCAAGGGCTCTCTGAAGAAATTCGAAATGGCAAAGTGAGAGAGGGAGAAAGGAAGCCCATTTATATAGTACTCATCCCTATCATTTGGGCACGAAGCACGAAGAGGCGCATTTAATGTGCACGACCTCCGAAGCAAGAAAAAACGGTTGAAGGTAATGATGAAGTAGTTGGGGTAGTTGCAGAACCCTTCGTCTCCTTACGACGCGTGTCCTCGGGGTCAGGAGATCGAAGGCTAGGGGACAGTTGATGAGACATTTCCAAATACTCCAAGATGAAAACTCGTGTCCTCGACATTAGTGAATTCTTGTTACTATAATCACGACACGTACCCGTCGGATCGCAAGTCTCTATTTTCCCGAGGTACTGTTCATAGGGGTCAATGACAACCAGTACGTTACGTACCGACACATATCCCTCGGTCGGATATGGGTACATTGGTCCCTACATGTACCACTCCCATCGGTACCGAGATGTACCGTCCAGGACGGCGTTCTCTGCTCCTATAGAGGCTATTGATGTACAGGTCACTAGCCTGGGCTAGGCTAGGTTAGCATCATGACCTTGTCTTACACAATTGGTGTCAGAAGGCACAACGAAGGCAGAAGACACAACCAATGTGGAATGGACGCGTGGCATATTGTGTCACATTAAAGACAACAAGACCGGATGCCCTTACTGACACACAACTTGGGAAAACAGGCATTTAATTATACCATTCCCTTGATGAGACAATATTTAATGCGGTAAGGCTCGGAAGTGAAAGGTAATAAATGTCCCTAAGACTGGGCATTTATTACATCCTTGCCGAGAGGAGCTCATTAAACAGTCGGCAGGCCGATGACACAGCCTTGGTTGCTCGGAATCCCGAGCAATTAAAAGAGAAGACATTCCTCATAGGAATCAGTGCGCACGTTGCCCATATCTAATGATCACCTACTGACTACACTGACAGCAATTATGAGTTTTTGAGGTATAAATACTCCTCATAAAAGGCAAGACGGGATGCAACGAAAAACTTTTTCTCAAACCTATACTCAGTGTTTTCTTCTTCCCCTCTCTCAAAAACCGACTTGATCGTCGGAGGAAATACGCTGAAAAACATCCCGGCACCCTTCTAACTTGTCTTTCTCTGTTCTAGGAACCTCCCTCAGCCTTACTGGACCGCTCCCTTGATCCACGAATAGTCACTCATTATCGTTCCAGGCCACCAACGGATCTCAGCCTGTTCCAAATAGCAAGGTTGACCATTCGATTGACTCACTCGAGTTCACCAAGGGAGAGATCTGTTCTCGTGTTTATATTGTGCAACATCCTGCACGCACAATAAATTATGTAAGATTTTGTTTAAAATGCATCATTCTTTCCCAACTGGCTACACAGTCGACTGGTGTGGAACCTAGAATCATGTAGCAAGGCAGGAACCAAAATTTCTGGGGAAACAATGGTACTATGGCTATCATATATTTTTCAAACATGAATTCTGGCGACAAAACTTGATGGACCGCCTAAATTAGGTTACACTGAAAGGGAGTACAGAACAAAATTCATAAATCGACGTTTCACATCAAATTTGTGGTAAAGAGCAGCTATAGTTGGTATAGTGCCTCGTTGTGTTGATCAATTTAATATTCCAGTAGAGATGAAGAAATTTGTTGGATGTAACCTAGGGGAAAAAGAATGTCACTGAGAACTCTATCAAAAACTTGCTAGTAACTTTGACATTATCACAGTTGTTAATAGTGTATCTCCAAGCTTAACATAAGTTTGAATGGCTGTCGACGAGAACTTGGTTAATTTCACACACAAGCTGCGTATTTCATTGACGAAATAAGAAAGGGGCTATATATTATCTTTAAATAAACCCAAACAGCAAGGTTTGTCGTGCAAAGAATAATTTACAGCAGATATTACAGAAGAATGAAATTATCCTTCCCAATAACCCCTGAAAACAAACCCCCCAAAAAAATTTAAAGCTTCTTAATTACAAGAAAGACGAACAGGAGAAAATTGTGCACTAATAAGGAGTTACCTGTAACAGCCATTGTCAGATAATGCTGAATTTCGAGAAAGACCAGTAAACCCAGGAAGATGGCCCTTCCGTACTCCTCCATGGTCCTGGCCAAGTGCGAATTCGCCCCGGAGAGGGAGAGAAAGGAGATCCTATCGCTTATATAATTATATTTGTGGTGCTCATTCTATTATATTTCAAAAATTCACATACGGGGATAAATAGTGAAATTAATAGTTATAATTATCAAATTTATTTTTTAAATTCATATAATATTGCTCTAGAAAAATTAGGTGATTAGATGTCATAATAGAAAAACTTATAGATGATTTTAAGTAGTCATTTGGATTAAAAAAAAGTTAATTGCACTAGAAGTTCCTAAAATATGAGATTTGTTTCATCTTTGTCCTCAATATTTTAATTATATCATTTTGGTCTCTGAAATATTGAATATATTTTTATATGATCTCTCGAGCAGACAACGTCTAGATTATTATCAATTTTTTATCATAAACTTGTCACGTGATACTTAAATATGAATAAAAAAATAATTTAGATAATGCCTGACCAAAATTCTACTCAAATTTTGGTTAAATAGATACTAAAATTACACAATTTCGATTATGAATTTATCTAAATTTTGGTCAAAAACTACTCATATTATACATTTTTTTTGTCAATAACTACTCAAATTTTGTTTAAAAATTATCAAAATTATTTGTTGTCTATATTTAGGTATTACGTGATAAATTTATGATAAAAAATCGTTAGCAATCTGAACGTTGTCTATTTAAAGAACTATATAGAAACATATTCAATACTTGAAAGACTAAAATGAGACAACCTCTGTATTTTGGAGACTTTCAATATAATTAACCCTAAAAAAAATAACGAATTATAGTGTTATTTTAAGAGAAGATGAAAGAGAACATCTCTAAGGGTGTTAATCGAGATGAGGTACTCAGATTCTATTCGGGTTCGATTCCTATGAGACATGACTTGAGTTCAACTCGTATTCTAAATGAGTTGAGTTTGAATAAATTTTTAAGATCGTTTAAAAAAACAAGTCTAAACAACTCCGATCAAGTTTTTAAAATTTGGTTTGTTTAATATGTAGAATAGTCGAGTTATTTAGGTTTGACTCGAATTCGGCTTGGGCTTGGCTAAATTCTAAACAAGTCAAGTTTAAACAATTTTTTAAGTTCATTTGAAAAAAATTGAACTCGATAAACTTAGGTTCAAATTCGTAAAATTTGACTCGATTAATTAAATGTGTCAGATTAGAGTTTGAAAATTTTGACAAGAACCCAAAACAGACCCAACACAATTAATCCGACATGACATATTTTGACGCCCCCGCCATGGTGTCACAATTCAATAAGAATTTAAAGAGAAAGTGAATATCACATGTTTTAATAATTACCCCTTCAAGTCATTTGATAACCACATAATGTAAAAACATAGAGTCTGCTTTAGTCATTTTATTGCATTTTTATTAAATGATGGCACCAAAAAGCATTGATAAAATGCATCGAATATTTTAGTCATTTAGAAAGGTGGTGACAATTTTTAGCCCAAAACAATGACATTTAAACTACTAACTCATACAAAACTAATTTCCCCTTTAATATTATTTTTGTCACATGTATAATTGTGGTGAAAATAATTGTCATGTTTGCTTCTTTAGTTAAAAATACATTGTGCATTTATACATTGAAGAACATGTATGTGTTTATACGTTTAGAAAGACAATCAGACCATTAAAATTTTTAAATTAATCAATTTTATAATTTTATCTAACTATATTATCGTGCACCATTAATTATTTCTATTGTGTATTATATACCTTATAAGTTTCTTCATCTTCATCCTCTTTGTAATGATGGTAATTGTACTAGTGGTAATACTAAAATGACTTAGCATAAACCAAGAAGACAAGACAAAAATTCAGTGTCGAAATTAGACTGAAAAACATTAGTGTTTTTAATGATAGCTTTGGAATTCTTTCAAAGCAAGGCATTAAGGCATTGTTTTGAGGAAAAGAACTCCATTTATTGTTACTTGCACTCAACGCCTGGACTCCTATATTGTGTTTGCATAATCCACCAATCTCATTCATATTGCTTGTAGTCTCCACATGTCCAATATTTATTATTTTTTCCTCATTTTATTTAAATTTAAATTCAAATATGTGGAATTAAATTTCACAAAATAAAAATCTGGATATAATAAGATCACGTTAAAAAATAATATATCAATATCTAATTTAAGAAGAGTAATTTGATGTGAATTACTACTGCACGTTAAAAAATAATATCAAAAAAAAAAATAACAGAAAAATCTAATAAATTCTTTTGTTTTTGAATTTCGGATCGACCGCTCCACATAAATGCCACCCGTCCCGACTCCATAGCTCATCGGTCTCTGTTCCGTCCTTCTCACTCCACAAACTCACAGAGATTGCACTGATTTCAGAGATCCAACATTTATTCTCCCTCTCTCTCTCTCTCTCTCTACAAACTCATATCCTGTAGTGAAGGCATGTACAATTCTCTCGCTCATTCTATGTATACAAGTACATATATGTATGTGTGTGTGTGTGTGCGCGCGCGCATCTTTTTCTTCTTCTTCTTTGAACTTCAATTGTGCCAATACTTTGCAGAGAATCGAGCTCACAATGAATTTTAGAATCGCAACTATGTTCATAGTAACACTCTCTCTTTGTTGTCACTCCAGAGCCCTCAAGGTCAGTCCAATATCTCCATTTTCAAACAGTAATTGAAAAAAAATAGTGTGTTCTAATTGAATATCGGCCTTAATCGAAGTTTTGAGTCTCTGTATAAGCAGGAAGGACAATCTTGCGTTGCAGATGGTAACTGCGACTCTGGACTACATTGCGAATTTTGCCTTGCCAACGGCAATATTCGGCCGCGTTGTACTCGAATTCAGCCTCTCAATCCATTGTCAGAGGTTCATCAACTCATATTCATATCCATTTCAATGCAGATAAATATATTTGTTAAGTGTTTGAATTCGTTTAGGTGTTTTGATCTAATATGAGTGATGTAGGTGAAAGGAATGCCGTTTAATCGGTATTCGTGGTTGACAACACACAATGCATTTGCTAGACTGGGACAGAGATCGGCTACGGGGGATGTGATTTTAGCTCCCTCAAATCAGCAGGATTCCATTACCGCTCAGCTCAATGTAATCTCTCTCTCTCTCTCTCTCTCTCTCTCTCTCTCTCACACACACACACATACAAATCCGGAAGGTTAGGGCTTAGGGGCGGTTTGATGGTGTCTAATTCCTTTTGGCTTCATTTGGTGTTTTCTCGTTGATGATGAATGAATGTTGGTTTCACATTGATATAATTAGAAAATTACGTTTTAGTCTGGTTTAAAGACTGTATTGTTCATGCATTCATAGAAAAATACAATTATAGATATGCTTTTCCACAAGAACAAATGATATTTTAGTCTTTCTTGCCCTTTGTTGGCTAGTGGAAATAAATGTACAAGATAATTGATCTGTAGCTTGCAGGCTGTAGGAAGTTGCCGTTTCCACCGATTTTGGTTTTGGTAAACTATTATATTAAACCCTTTCTATTTTTAAATGTAATTGAAAAACATTTGCATATGGCAAATATGACAGGTTGTCACAAGCATTCTTTTCCCTGAGACATTGCCATAAATGCACAATTTTGTGAATCTTTGACAGCCAGCATGTTTTAGTTCATAACTTGGTAAAGATGGGAGTATTTTTTTTATGCTAGCCCTTAAAGGACAATGCGTTTGTTAGGTGGGTTTAGGGTTTTTGCTTCTTTTAAATGGTTTGGTAATTTAGAGCTCATATTTTTCCACAGTGACAAACAATGGGTGACAAGGTCCATCCTATAAAGAAAGGAAGCTTTATGAAATGTAATAGGGTTGGTAGAATACTGCCACAAGGCTCCATGACATACATAATTTAAATATTGGGTATTGCTTGTCATCACATGTTGATTTTTGGAAGACTGTTGGTGGGAAAGCAAATGATTTCTTGACTTATAAACTGTTGCCGCTCAACATGCTTAAATTCTAATATAAGGATTCCTTTGTCCAAGAAAATGGAGGGCCCTCAGAAGTGGAGGCTGTTGGATCTCTGTCTTCAAAAAATAATGAAAATCCAAAGTCATACATAATCCTTGAGTAAATGAACTTCTGGATGGGCCATGATTACACAAGCTGTTCCTTTGTCAGCATGTAATATGAAATCAATCGCTTTCCTTTTGGTTTCATTTTCAATTTTGGGCATGGCTGCTGAACTTGTCAATAATTGCGTCACCAGCTCATAACTACTATCAAGGCTTATTGGTTGATATTCCCGGACAGTGGACTTTTATGTTGTCAATGTGCAAGCATTAGTATTATAGAATGTTGTGCATTCCTTTTTTCTCGATACCATTGATCTATTCAGCAATTGTAGACTACATGGGCAGAGTTACATAATAAAATTGTTGGCTGCAGTAATTTAGCATCCAACTTGTTCATTGAGCTTCTGTTTGGGAATATTTTATTTGCAGAATGGTGTTAGAGGGCTGATGCTTGATATGTATGACTTCAAAAATGACATCTGGCTATGTCATTCATTTGGCGGCAAATGCTATAACTACACTGCTTTTGTAAGTATGTTATGGTTGCTTAGATATCATATCAAATTTGCGTCAACCCATCTTCATTCTTTTTTGTATTGATTAAATTTGAAATGACTTCAGTTCGCTTATTTCATGGTGTCAAAGATTTCTACTTTTGAAATAACCACTGTCCTAAGATAAGCATTTACCAGAGTTTTTGGCTGCATTTCTGGCAAATCAGGTGTTCAGTTAGCTGTTTTTTTTACAGTTCTGAAAGGAGCCAAAGTTAATTCTGGCATTGATGCTTCCATTTAATTCTGAATTGTAATATACAAAAACACATGCATCTAGATGCTTGAATCAAAGTTAGATTTCCATGTTCTGTTTTGCTAGATGTCCTGGTAATTGTCTTAATAGATGACTATTTGTATTAATTGAATAACTAAACTGTCCAAACATCTAATTCACCAGCAACCTGCCATAAATGTTTTGAAAGAGATTCAAGTGTTTCTTGAGGCAAACCCGTCTGAAATCGTCACCATTATCATTGAAGACTATGTCACATCTCCTAATGGTCTAACCAAGGTGTTTGATGCTGCTGGCCTGAGGAAATTCTGGTTTCCAGTATCTCGAATGCCAAAAAACGGTGCCGATTGGCCGACAATTGATGCTATGATCAGGCAGAACCAGCGTTTAGTGGTTTTTACATCAAAATCTGCTAAGGAGTCCTCTGAAGGCATTGCTTATGAGTGGAGATACTTGGTAGAAAACCAATGTGAGTGCCTTCCCCCTCAAGAAAAAAAGAACACAAAAAAAATGTCTCTGAATTTTGAGTGATATGTTGATGAGAAAAATTGAAAGAATTAGAGCCGCTTACGTGGCTTCTGAATTTGCAGATGGTAATGGTGGGATGAAAGCTGGATCTTGTCCCAACCGAGCAGAATCTTCTCCCTTGAACACAACAACAAGGTCATTAGTCCTGATGAACTACTTTCCTGATAACCCAGATATAACCCAAGCTTGCAAGCATAATTCAGCTCCATTGATTAGCATGATGAATACATGTCATGAAGCAGCTGGTAAAAGATGGCCTAACTTCATTGCCGTCGATTTTTATAAGGTATTATAACTCAATGAAACTCATTTTGAAGCTCAACCAAGGCAAAATTATAAATTGCTGCATATTTAGTGCATATAATTTATCTGAAAATGAACTTTTGCAGAGGAGCGATGGAGGGGGAGCTCCTGAAGCTGTAGATGCGGCAAATGGTCAGCTTGTTTGTGGGTGTACAACCATTGGTGATTGCAAGGTTTGAAGCAATCATTAAAATAGAGAATTTTCATATTTTCTATTCAAATATTAGATTGAGGTCATGGACATAAATACCAAGGGTCGAATGAATACAGAAAGGGGAAGTTGGTTAACTCATGTAACCTTTTCAAAGTCTGTACATTTTTTTTTTTGGGAGAGAGGGAGAGAGGGAGGAGGAGAGGGGACTTGAACCCTTGACCTCAAAAAAGTTTGTACATGGGGAAAGGCTATTGTAGCAAAAAACTAACAATACAAAAAATTAAGTTCAATTGAGTATGCAAAGTTATGACTCAGTCGGGTCAAGTTAAGACTGGAACAGGTTAAAAGTTATGGCTCATGTTAATTAGGATCCATCCGAAAAACCTGTAATTGATACCAACCTTTTTGAACCTCATTAATCATAAGTTTATTTTGTTTGAATTGTACTTGGCTCGATTCAATCTTTTATATGGTATCGAATATGACACTGTAGATTTTTCACTCCTTACATGAGTCATGAGCTATGCTAGTATGAGCACTGTTGTAGTCTTTTTACATGATTACTAAATATTTATCCTATTATTATGTGCAGGCAAATATGACCTTTGGAGTATGTGACCTGCCTGAGGCTAGTGTAGCCCCCACTGTAGCATCAACAAATGAAACCAGCTCTGCTCATTTGGATAGCAGGCTGATCCTATTGCGGTGGCTGTTCTGGACTGTTTTAATAGCCATCATCATGTCATTTTAAGGAGCTTCATTGTCCAGCAAGAAGAGAGTAAGGAGCTTATGAGGTATGACCTACACTAGTTCCATTTCAGTTCAATGGAAAGAAATTGTACTCACTGACAGGCCATAGCACATTTAGAATAGTTTGCAATGTGTGCCATTTGATTACCGGTAATAAAGAAACATTAGGACAGCTTATCCTTCCAGCTTTTCGCTTATATGAACAGCAGTCAGGTGCAACCTTGGTGCCTATCTGGGACAGGTTTGATTTTAGGAGCCAACACAAGTGCTTCTCACTCTCTGCAACTGCATTGAAACCTAGGGAAACTACAAGGAAAGAGAAACAGTTGTATTGTCTCTCTCTTCAATGATACATGACCATTTTTTAAATATCCGATAACCATTCCAACTACATGTTCGCTAGACTCATGGTTACAATCTACACTCAGAATAAATGCAATCACCCTTAAACCACTTGTTTCGGGTTTTTGAGTTAACCAGGACTTGAGCTCCAAATCTGATGAGTTAATAGATGATAATAGCCTCTAGTTGGTGTCATGTGGTTGCCGAAAACTAGGAATCTTAAGCATTTCTTTGTGCATTCTGGCTCTAACTGAAAATCAGTAGAGATGCATGTTTTTTATGGCTGCATATGCAACCACTTCCTACAATCAGTTTTGCATTTGGACACTACCACAGGATGAGATCATGAGGCCAACTAACTTGCTTGACGTCTGAGGATGATTAAATTTGTAGAATTCTTTTTCTTCTTATTTTTTCCGTAATTTTTGGAGTTCCATGAACGGTGAATAACTAGATGGTTGGTTGTGTTCTCTTCTTTTTCCGAATGTTATTCAGCACAGGCTGCACAGCTACTTGTGCTGAAAGTCTAAAAGCCAAGAATTCAGTGGACCAATGTGAGGTTCCTTCCTTCCTCTCATAACTGCTTTTCTGTGCTGTAAGCTTTAGCAGACATGAGAGTCTAACACGAAATTAATACAAAATTAGCTTGTTTAAATGGTAAAGGAGTGGGTCCACGAGACTCGCTCATTACCTGGGTCCATGTGAACAATGGTAGAGCCACTTTGAAGGTTGGGGGGGGGGGGGGGGGAACCTTGCACGCATGGTGTAAAATAAACGTCACTCTGTCTAATTTAGTACACTGCCCCCTTCATTTTTTGAAATTTATAGAGTAGTGCTAGTTTTTTATTTATTTATGTTTTTACCCTTCTCAGACAGGAACTTGGCTCTGCCACTGGACACAAAAATTTGTTGTATATTTCAAACGAACTTTATAA